TTTTGAACCTCAGTCCTTCTGATCTCAGCCTCCTAAGTACCTAGGATTAGTGGCGTTTGTTTGTTTGGGGTCAATCATGGGGCTTGAACTCAGGGCCTGGGCACTGTCCCTGAGCTTTTTTATTCAAGGTTAAGATTTTACCATTTTGTATCACAGCACTACTCTCCCCAGGCTGGTTTTGAATTGTCATCCTCAGATCTCAGCCTCCTGAGTAGCTAGGATTACAGGTGAGAGCCACTGGTGCCTGGCTGTCGTGGGGCTTGAACTCAGGGCCTGGGCACTGTCCCTGAGCGTTTCCACTCAAGGTTAGCTCTCTATCACTCTGAGCCACAGCACCACCTCAGACTATTTTTAAATGGACTTAGTTTTGATTGGGGGACACATCTCTGACAGGATGGGGATGTGTACGGTTTTGCCCCAGGCAGGTTTTTGCTCTATCCCCTTCAGCCACTGTATGTGGCTGGATGGCTCCTCCCTCCCTCTCCCCCGCTGCAACTCCTCACATAAGAAGAAACTCTGAGGAAGCAATAAGGACTCAGGTAGCCAGGCCTAGTGGTACAAGCCCATATCCCAGCATTCAGGAGGCTGAGATAGGATGGTTAGGAATTCAAAGCTATCTGAGGTACAGAATAAGCTTGTGGCAAGCTTGGGCTATAGAGATCCTGCCTAAAGAAAGGAGAAAAGAGCCAGATGCCAGTGGCTCATGCCTGTAATCCTAGCTACTCTGGACACTGAGATCTGAGGACTGCTATTCAAAGCCAGCCTGGATAGGAAAGTTTATGACTCTTATCTCCAATTAACCATCAAAAATCTGGAAGTAGAGCTGTGAACCAAGTGCTAAGGTAGTAGTAACTAGCCTTGAGCACCAGAGACAGCACCCTGGCCCTGAGTTCAAGCCCTAGGACCATCACAAAATAAAAATAAGACCTGGGTTACCAGGCCTCTTCTTTCTTACTGGGGACCAGCAAAACAGAATTTTCTACTAGCCTTAAACCTGTCACAGCTCACCCTGAGGCCGTAGGGACTCCAGTAAACAAGGAGGGGGAATGGCTGTCAACTTTACCTGAGAAGTACCTTCCCTCATCTGAGAGAGGAGCTACGTCCAGGGAGGGAAAATCCTTCCTCCAAGGCTTTGGGTGCTCTGCAAACCCACAACAGGGTCCAGCAAGTCCCTCATCTCACCCTGGCTGACCCTAAGCCTTCTCCCCAGGGCACAGAGCTTGGCCCAAGTCATGACAAGGACAAAGACAACACCTTGCCGACGGATCCCACGTGCCCATAGGCACCTTGCCTGTCTGCCAGGCCCATAGTTGGGGGAGGAGGAAAGCACTTCCTGGTTCCTGCAAAAGTTTGGCTGGCAGGCCGGCAGGGGCCCAGAGCCTAACAAGAGCACTCTGTAACTGCCTGGCCAGGAGCCAGGCTGCCTCATTCCCTGGGGCTGACCTCATGCTTCTGAAGAGCTCAAGCTGCCAGCAGTCTGTGCAGAGCCTCTCGCCGGTCAGTTCTGCTGCCAGCAAAGGAAATGACCGGGCTGGGGGCCTGCAGAGAGGTGGGAATGCAGAACCCAAGGAGCCCTCTACCCGGTCACCTTGTCCGCCAGAGCCTTCTACCCAGCCTGGCAGGCACACTCCAGAAGAAAGACGGCTGGAGGCCCATGACATTTGTGTTCCTTTGGTGACTGGGTGACCTGGGCAGCTACTTCATTCTCTTCCTGTTTCCATCCCAGAATCCGGGAAAGTGACAAAAGACAGCCAGGCTTCCTGGGAGGCGCTCAGCACACACCCCTGAAGGCAGCGCTGTGGCCTCAAGGCTGAGACCTACGCTTAGTGACAAAAGTAACTATATTTAACCCATAGCTGGCACAGCTGCCCGCTCTGGCCTTCCCATGCTCACTAATGGCAATAACTAGTACACTGCAGCCCAGCAAAAGCCTTCGTGCACTTTAGCCCTACTTCAGCCTTTTCTGCCTAACACCTACTTCATGCTTGATATAGGGTAACATGTGGCCAGCCCACGTGGCCAGATCCCAAGATACCTTGTTGTCAAGCATCCATGGCTCATGCCTGTAATCCTAGCTACACAGGAGGCTGAGACTCGAGGATTGTGGAAGGTGGCCCAGGCAGGAAAGTCCATGAGACTCAAATTCTCCAATTAACAACCAAAAGCCAGAAATAGAGCTGTAGCTCAAGTGGTAGAACAGCTGCCTTGAGAGAAAAAGCTAAGGGACAGAGACCAGGCCCTGAGTTCAAGCCCAATACTAGTGTGCATGTGCACGCACGCGCACGCGCGCGCGCGCGCGCGCGCGCACACACACACACACACACACACTCATGAAAGGAAAAGAAAAAGATAATCTTATTCCTTCCATATCCTGTATCTCTGTACCATCACCACTGCCTACTCTCCCAGCTGCGGGTCCCAGTCAAATGCCTCTAAAATTTTTCATTGTCCTTAAATCATCCTCAAGGGCTAAGAACCTTGTAAGGGTAGAGAAGAAGGCCAAAGATTATTTTTCTTCCACCTTCTGGTGGGACCCGGGGTGGGGGAGGGGGGTGGATACAGCAGCTAACAGCTTTAAACTTTCCTTGCAGAGGTTTTTCTTAGAACAGTAGTTCCCACTCTTTAGATCTTGAAATGTCTGCATACCTTGTAAGTCTGTGAGCTGCAGGGCTGTGTATAAAGTGGAATTTTCCATTTATAGAATAGTAATCTTCATACCACTCTGGGGGCCAACGCTCACATGTAAGAGCTCAAGTTCAGTGTCAGCGAACCTGCCAGCCTTCCGAGGGAGCCCCAGGGCACTCAGCCTCTTTTATTTATTTTTGGTGGGAGAGTGGGGGAAAATAAAGGATGGCTTTTTAACTCAAATGCCAACACAAACTTGAAAAAGAAACTGCATTGACAAGTGCAGAATAGGATAGGCCTGATTTCAAGTCTTCTTTCAAGTATTGGAGGCTAGGAGGTGGGAAAGCAGCTGAAATAATGATAATCAAGCTTTAAGACAACAGGTGGTCAGGTGATCAGAACAGGTGTCCCTGCAGTGCCTCCAGTCCTTGCCTGTCAGAGCCTTGCTAGGCTCTAGCTACTCCCTGCAGGCAGTGGCCCAAGCCCAAAGCACATAATGTATCATAATTCAGGCTGGGATTGCCCACCCGGATGGTGGGAAAACCACCTGGTCAGAGTGATGAGGCCTAAATCCTAATTATTATACAGCCACACAGTGACTATATATGCGACTATGTTGCATAGTCTTCTATGTTGCATAGTCTTGTCTCTGAGTCTCATTTTCTCTTGTCTCTGGACTGATGATCTCAAAGACCCCTTCTACAGGAAACTTGATTCACCCACTCATTCATTCTAACATGAACCCATGCCAGCACCAGGATCTGGGTCTCTCCTACTGGGCACAGCTAGGCCCAAGTGGGTACTAATGAGAGCTACCAGCACCAGGCACTCCACCTTTTTGTTTCACTTGACCTAGGTGAGGAAGGAAAGTCCAGCCCTGTGGTTTTACCCAGCCAAGAGCAGGCATTTTCTTGTCTCCAATACAAAAGAACCCTCAGCATCTAAAAACTTTCTTACTTTTTTTTCTTTCTTACTTTTGATTTAAAAAGAAAAAAATAAGGCTCTCTTTCTGGGAATTACAAGACCTTTAAAAAAAATCATCTAACTTTTCTTTTCCATGGTTTTTACAGGGGAAAAGAAGTATCTTGTTTATTTTAAAATATTAAATTATGGTGTCCATTTCCCGATGTACTAGCACATGCCCGTAAAATACCAATGTTTGGGAGGTTGAGGCAGAAGTCCCAGTCCAGTATGGGCTACATAGCAAGACTTAGTGTCTTAAACAAACATTACATAGGCTTTGTCCTTCAAATTGCACGTGCACCCTAGACTTCGATCTAGGTCCCTCCCTCCCCCGGTGTGGGGAGGGGCTTCACATACACATAGTCCACCGTTGTCCTAGACTCTGGGGTTCGGAGGGAAGAGTTTCTGGCCCCCACTCTTATCTAAATCACCAGCCAAAGACCCCCTCCTTCCCCGCCCAGTCTCTGAACACCTGTCGGAACGCTGCTGTCCAGCACTCCTCGGCCACTTAACACAACAAACACTCCCTGGGCCCCGGAGATGCGTGCGACGATTTCACCCAGCAGAAAGCACTCCAGAGAGCTGTGCAAACGGAAATTACTGGGTCTCTGGGTAGCTCTGATGTAAGCGAGGCCTCCAGGATCGCGCCCAGTCCTGCCTCCCTCCGTTTTGCTTGCCGGTGCTGACAAGGCGAAGAGGAGGCGCCCCAGGCTGAATCTGGAGCAGTACAAGGCTGAGTGGGTGCAAGCATCCCTGGGTCTCCATCCCCATCCAGTCCTGCGCAAGCCTCGCCTCCCAGTCTGGCAGAAAGGAACCCCAGGCCGGATCGCCTGTTCCAGACCCAGGCTCTCGAGCAGGGACGAAGGCGGGCACTAGCCGCCGCTCCGGCCGGCCCCGGCCCGGCCCCTCTCCCCTACTTTCCGCTCACCCCCGAGCTGCGCGCGCCGCTCACGCCCCCTCCCCAGCTTCCACCAATCAGCGTCCGGAGCGGCGCCCGCGGAGCCAGGGTTCTGATCCGCAGCCAGTTAGCGCCGCGGCCCGAGGCGGCGCCTCGCCCGCCCCCTCGCAGGATGAAAGGCGCCCCGCAGCTGGCGAGGCCGGCGCCGCGCCCGGGGCCCGGGAGCCGCGCGGGCCGGAGCGCTCCGCTTGCACCGCCCGCCCGACCCCGGAACGACCGCCCGCGCTCCGCCTCCGTCCGGGGCGCGGGCGCTGTAGCCCGAGCGGGGGAGCGCAGGGGGCAGGGCCGCGGCGGCGAGGAGGGGTTTGGGGAGGAGCGGATCCGATAAAAGGCAAGCGAAGCGGGCCCCACCCCGCGGCTGGCAGGCCGGCCCGCGGGCAGGCTCGGCGCGTCCCTTCCGTCCGTCCGGCCCGCGCCGGCGGCGGGGAGGCGGCGCGCGGCCCGCAGCCCGCCCATGGAGGCTTTCCCCTGGGCGCCCCGCTCGCCCCGCCGCGGCCGCGCCCCCGCGCCCATGGCGCTCGTGCCCAGCGCCCGCTACGTGAGCGCTCAGGGCCCGGCGCACCCGCAGCCCTTCAGCTCGTGGAACGACTACCTGGGGCTCGCCACGCTCATCACCAAGGCGGTGGACGGCGAGTCGCGCTTCGGCTGCAGCCGCGGCGGAGACGACGACGGCGGAGGCGGCGGCGGAGGGGGTGGAGGCGGCGGGTCCCCGCCCTCCTCCTCCTCCTCGTCCTGCTGCTCCCCCCACGCGGGGACGGGGCCCGGGGCGCTGGGCCCGACGCTGGGGTCGCCTGACTACGACGACGACGAGGACGACGAAGACGACAGCGACGACCCGGGGTCCCGGAGCCGCTACTTGGAGCTGCGCGCTCTGGAGCTGTGCGCGGGCCCCGCCGAGGCCGGGCTGCTGGAGGAGCGCTTCGCCGAGCTGAGCCCGTTCGCGGGTCGCGCCGCCGCGGTGCTGCTGGGCTGCGCCCCCGCCGCCCCCGCCCCGGCCGAGGTGGCGCCGCGCGAGGAGCGGGCTCCGGCGTGGGCGGCCGAGCCTCGCGGGCACGCGGCCCCCGGGGCGGCCGCCGCCCGGCTGCTCAAACCCGAGCTGCAGGTGTGCGTGTTCTGCCGGAACAACAAGGAGGCGGTGGCGCTCTACACTACCCACATCCTGAAGGGCCCCGACGGGCGAGTGCTGTGCCCGGTACTGCGCCGCTACACGTGTCCCCTGTGCGGCGCCAGCGGCGACAACGCGCACACCATCAAGTACTGCCCGCTCTCCAAAGTGCCGCCGCCGCCCGCCGCCCGCCTGCCGCCGCGCAGCGCCCGGGACAGCCTGCCCGGCAAGAAGCTGCGCTGAGAGCCGGGCTCCGCTCCGCCGAGGCCCGGTGCCACCAGGCAGGGCGGGGCCGCCGCCGCGGAGCTCAGCCCAACTCGGAACGTCGTCTCGGTGGTCTGTCGGGAGAAGCCGGCCGGGAGGAGTACTTTACCGGGGAGCGGTTGGGACTGGACGCTAACATCTTGATTTTTGTCTCTGCAGTGTGTAGTTTGCGCACATGCAGAACGGCGAGGGCCGCGTGTATTTCCCTGGCTGAAATAATGGCACCCAGGAGGCATCGTTTATTTACTGTTCACGTCCACCTATTTTAGATGCGCATCCGTATGAAATGGTCTCTCATCTTGGATGTTTCGTTTCATGAATGGAGACACTTTACTAGGTCTAGAATATTTTTTTAATGAGCCTCTGAACTGAGCCTTAAACTGGCGATTTTATGGAATGTTGGCAAAAATGACATTGTTGGATGCGATCAATATCTTAGTTTTGCCCCTAGTCACTCTTTAATTCCAGGTGAGGCCTCTGGTAGCTTCAGTTCTGAAAAGTGAAGGTTTATCCAGTATTAATTCGGGAGGGTCCCCTCCTTGTGGCTTGTTTGTTCTAGCTGGAGATTAAATGCACAATCTGTAGCAGGTAGAATACAACTCCTTCTCCTTTTATGTACCAGATCTTTTATTATTGGACTAGCAACTTTCTAAAACTTGTGCCAAGTCATAATCATATTGTGTATACGCTTGGAAATGGTGCTGTTTAAAGGACTTGTGTATTTTACAGTAACAGTATGAGTTCATCTTATCTGTAGCTCCTATTTGGCATTTTTCTCCATGCACCTCCCCCCCTATTTCTAATTATTTGCGAATGTCTATGATACTAAGATCAAAGAAGAGAAAATCGAAGTGTTCAGATTGCTGTTTCAGGTTTCCTAAGTGATGGAGAAAAGCTCAGAGCTGTTGCTTCTCCAACTTTAAAATACAAGTTGGGAAGCTAATGTAATAACCTGAGCTCAGGAAGGTTTTCCCTTTGGGCTGTCTGGCTTCTGGCATCCAGGGAGTACACCAGGATAAGCCCTAATTAAAGGAGTCGTTGGGGGTGGGGTTATGACAAATATGGCCTCCCTGGTTTCTCATTCTTATTAGAAAGAGACCCTTAGGTGGCCTGGCCACCCCACCAAGCTACCCTTAAAGCAGAGGTTCCTTATACTTTATTTTCAACATTTGTTTTTAAATCCACCACTCCGAATGCCACACTGTGACTTGTAGCTTCAGACTACCAGGCAAAGATGGAATAAGGCAAAGATGGAAAGTGAGTCAAGAGGAACGTATCAGAAATGCACAAACCACTAGCAAGAGATTTAGTCTTAAGTCTATAAAGCTTACAGTATTAGCTAGGGTATTAGTTCAGACTGGCTTCATGCTAAACAGCTACTTCCACAAACTACTGCCTTGATGTGAAACACACTATAAGAATGCAGACTGGGCTAAATATACTGAGTAGCTGAGCACTGTTTGGGACAAAGGAAGGTGCATCAAATGCAGGAGCAATGGTGGAAACATCCATCCCTAATTCTAGCCCCCAACAAGAGAATTGTCTGGGCCTCAGCTCAAGTAGCTTAATAAAATTATGTACTTTTTTTTTTTTTGGCTAAGGAATGTTACTACTCTAGTTTTTTTGGAGGTGGGGAGGTGAAATTTTCAAGTCCATGGGAAGTCCCATCACCTATTAGTCTACCTTTTGAAGTCACTATGAACAATGCACTCTGCAGAACAAAGAACTGACAGGTGGCAGATTCAGCTACCTGGCAAGTTTTAAGACTGGAAATTTTAGATTTCCTAAGGCATCAGGCTTTTGTTTTAGCTGTAACAGCCTCAGTACCAGAATGCACACTTATGTAATGGGATGCATCCTTTGCCTATTTACTATTCTGGTATTACTATTTTACCTGAACTGGGAAGGCTGAGCAGTTTCTGTGAAGTCCTGGAGTAAAGATGAGATAGCTATTACATTAACCTATTTTAAAAGTACCCCATAATCACTTTGCACCATGTCAAATTTGCCTCAATTTTCCCAACACTGTTAATACTTGCAATTTGTGGTACCAAGTTGTTCCTGTAATAGTTTGGGTATACTTCATTTATTTAAAAGTAATCTTTGTTACTGGAGATGTAGCTCATGTGGTAGAATATCAGCATTCAGCAAAAAAGCCAATGAGAGTGATGTCCTGAGTTCAAGCCCGAGTACTGGCACAAAAATAATCCTTGAGCCAGTGGTTCACACTTGTAGTCATGGCTATTCAGGTGGCCAAGATGTGAGGATTACAGTTCAAAGCCAATTGGGCAGAAAAGTCTGTGAGACTCTCATCTCCACAAAAATCCAGAAAGAGCTGTGGCTCAAGTGGTAGAGCAATAGTCTTGAACACAAAAGCTCAGGGACAGCGCTCAAGCCCAGAGTTCAAAACACAGGACTGGCAAAATTATCTTTGGGACTTAATCTAAAACTGAACATTTCTCGATTGTTTAGGTAGAAAAATCCAGTTTAAAAAAATGACAAGATTACATTCTTCCTGAGAATATGCTCTATTTGTGTAGACAATAAAAGGTATGTGAATCCCCAAGAGTTTTTCACCAAGGGCAGGCACAGGTTGCTGCTTTCCTGTTCATACTTGTATTTCCACCATGTGTGGTTTTATTTCTTCTAACAGCCACATTAAACTGGAACCATACATTTTCAATCCATATCACTCTTTAAATATACTTTGTGGTAAAGACATCAGTCCTAATTTACTAGTCAATAATTTGATTCCTTGTAATTAATTTGGTAAGTTGTTATTTCTTCCTATGGCATCATGTACTTTTATTGTAGTTATATAGGAATAGTTATATAGACAATGGCATTGTTTTGATATGATCCTGCTAAGTAACCCACCCGAGCCTTGAACTTAGATCTTCTTGCATTGGCCTTCAAAGTGTGATGATCAAAGCTGTCTACTACACCATGCAGATCAGTGATTCTTAACTATTAACATTCCACATGCTAACTACTAGAAAATACTCCATAGACAACCAGTGGATGTAGCATTTTGGGAGACAGTGTCATCTCTACCTTCAGGCTTTTTTCTGTATTTAACAGCAATGTTCTGGTTTAAAACTCCTGAAGCCACTGAGAACATGGAGACCAAATGGCATATTTAGGGGTAGGTTGGTTGTTCATTTTCTGTTACACCTGTTAATAAACCTAGGGAAAACGATACAGGGTTGGGTCACAAAGCAAACAGCCTAACACTATTCTGCCCCTGTATGTGTTCTGGGTCTGACTCAGGACAAAACAAGAGGAGATAGAACAGGAGACACAGATGGGCTGAGTGGAGCAGAAAAGGTAGGTTTCCAGGATAGTGCCTTAAAGCTTTTACACGTCTCACTTAAAGAACTGTCTGGGGATTCTGCAATATCACATGTACTATCACCTAAGTACAAACTCATGCCCTGATAAAGTCATCATCTCTTAAGTTCAGAAGGCAAAGTCCTCCCCCCAACAAAAGGCTTATTTTTTAAGACTTTCATATTAGGACTAGAGGCACAGCTCAGTGGCAAAGTGCCTGTGAAAGTACAAGGCCCCGAGTTCAAATTCCAGTACTATCCAAATATATCAACTTTTAGCATACTGAAATGTCAGGTATCAGTCACAAAAGTGATTTCCACCATTAGTATTATCAAACGAAAGATGATTGTGGTTCACACCTTGTAATACTAGCTATCAGGAGGCTGAGATCTGAATATATGGTTCAGGGTCTTCAATTAATCACCAAAGAAAGCCATATGTGGAGCTATGGCTTAAATGGTGGAGGGCAAAAAGCTTAGTTAGGGACAGCACCCAAGCTCTGAAATTCAAGCTCTAGGACAAACAAACCTTACCCCACCCCATGGCAAAAAAAAAAAAAAAAAAAGAAAAAAATCATAGAAGAATCTGACTAAACAAAACCGCATCCGTACACCCTTCTTCTGGCCTTAAAGCTGTCCCAACAAACAGCAATTCTCATTACTACTCCCCAAGTTTATAGTGCCCATAGCCATTAACATTCCCTTATTTCTATGTTCAAAAAATCCAAAAGTGATACCTGTACACACCACATGCACACTATGATGCTAGCTACTTAGGAGGCTGAGATCTGAGGATCAAGGTGCTCATATCTCCAACTAACCACCAAAAGCCAGAAGTGGAGCTGTGGCTAATGGTAGAACACTTAAAAACAGCTCAGAGAGCACCCAAGCTGGGTTCAAGCCCCACAACCAGCATTTAAAAACAAAGTTAAAGAGCTTCACTTACAGACAAGTAATAATCTAGTGGTATTTCTAGTTGCTTTCTGTGTTATATTTAGGCTATTTTCTATTTTTCAATACATAAGAGATATAACACTGATAAAAAGAAAACTAACAAAATACACTCACCTCAATGCAAACGCACTAACCATAAACAAAACGCTTTATATTCATAAACCAACACTAAAACAAATTCTGTAAGTATTTTATTTATCATTGAAGAAAAAAGAAAAACACAGCAGCAAATTCTGTGTTGGCTTCAATAAGACCAGATAGTTAATCTTTAACATCACTACTGCACTCCAAAATTGAAGGCAACACAGTCATTACTACAAATTACTTGTTGACTCTATCCTGAAGAGAAAGAAAATTAGGAAACAGAATTTAAACAATTCCTCCAAACCACACATTTATAAATATCATATTTTAAATGCTTAAAAAGGCATGAATTCTCCATTAATGGAAAAGCAGTTTGCTATTGGCAACAGAAAAAAAAAAAAAAAAAAACACCTCAGCGACAATTTAGCAAAATTTTATAGAACTGAGAAGCCATACTATGCTGGATTCCCACAGAGCAGCAGTATGTCACGTCATGACAATGACTGCAAATTACCTCATACTCACCTCCTCAAAGCTACGAAAATCCCACTGTAGCCATGCAATGTTTACTGCATTTCTCTGATCCTAAAAACAGTACCTCGAAATGCCTAG